ATGATGAGGGTATTCACAGCTAACAATCTCAAGATGGAACAGCTATGTCATGCATGGGAGACAGAGTTCCACAAGACCCTCTGCTTTCAACACTATAATTGACATTATCTAAAGACCCATACCCCAAGTGTCTGCTTTAGGAGGTGATTTACTGGACAGCCTTCTTCCTTTATGCCGAGCTTCTCAAGGGCAGAGGCATCAGTGACCATCAACTTTATCACACACGTGGCAGAGGAATGAACACTTTCTGTGAAGTCTCCAATGAGCTTTTGAAAGTAGATATGATGAAATCGGTTAGGATGCTGGCATGTCCTTCGTCAGCGGGTCTTCCCTTGGGATCTGATTGTGATTCCATGGAGAGGCAGCCTCAGTCTAGAAGAAAGCAGATGTCCTGGCGTTGGAAAGCATCTCTCCCAGATCAGAGCCAGGTCTTCCTTTTAGCTGCTGTAACCGCATATAAGTTGCCTTTCTTCCTCTTTCCTAGAGCACGAGAGTGATGTGATGGCCGCAGAGAGCAGCGGGCCTCTACCTGTGAGGGTTATTCCACTCAGTTCTCTTTCTTAAGTAAGTAAGGGCCCCGCTTTGGTTGACAGTGCTGCTCATCGTTGCTTCTGGGGGTGGGGGCGGCTGGAAAGCTTCCAGCTGAAGCCCACATCCCTCTCCCCTCTGTTTCCGATGTTCTTCTAGAATATAGTGTTCATGCTCACCTCACTGTGATAGAATGCTAGTAGCTGAAGGATTTGCTATAAACAGCTTCATGCCGCCTTGGAGGATTGGCGGTGTGTAATTAATACTTGTTAATTAACCTTATTACTTGATTAACCTTATTGCTGGTTAATCCACAATGTTATATGATCTGGCCAGAAGCTGGAGTGTTGCCATCATTTAATCATTTCAGTAATGAGAGGAGTCTGCTAACAATGGGCTTCATGAGATACTGAGACCGTTTGCTGTTAGTATCGGTGATGAAGTGAGAGGTTGAATAAGGCCCCTTGTGTCCTTTTGCAAGTGGCCTTTTATTAGTATCTCATCGGTGAAGGTGACTATGCGGGAACTGAGTGACTAGTACAATCTGGCTTCAAGCTCTTGGCAGTCCGTCTGCCTTGACCTCCTGGATGCTGGGATTACAGCTCTGAGCCACCACACCTGGTCAGCAGAGGGCCTTAAATGTCAAAGTCACACCGCCAGCCATGCTACACTGGCTTTGGATTCTCCTTGACTTTGTTTACAGTTCCCATTTCTTCTATCTGCTGTCTACCACAAGACCTCCAACTAAACTTGACTTTTGGTAGACTTTAGCATGCTCCTGAAGTTTGGTTACAGTCTGCCGTGGGCTCTAATATGGACCCTGGAAAAAAATCTTATTACACCTCACCCACAGCTCATTGCGGATTAACTTATAATCAAGTATAATTGATCCACACAAAAGTCAGGAAATAAGACAAAGGCATCCCCAAATGACTCCTTAGCACAACCTCTAAATGCCCCAGGGTGCCTGACTTCATAGCAAGGGCTCCATACAGCAGAAGGCCAAGACAGCTCAGGAGGGAAGTTAGAAATGAGAAACTGGCTTCTACGACTAAGACAGAGACAGGTTTGAGTATCAAGAAGGGAGAAGGAGTTGAAATTTGAAGATCTCCGTCAGGTACAGTGAAGTGGACTAGAATACTGAATCCCATGAGCACATTGCCTCAAATTGGGTTTGCACTGCTCAGTCCCTCATTATAGCGATCTCTGGGATTCCTGCCTCCTTGTCAAATGCATGTCTTTTGCATCTGTCCATGAAATAATCACCTGTCTTGGGTGAGCTTGCTGCTGTAGAGACAGCCTTCTGCTTTCCTGCCAGGAGCATTTCTCTTAAGGTCCTGTGTCTGTCAAAGGAATCCCCATTGGCAGAAGCACTTACCTTCTTTCTTCTTCCAGCAGTGACAATTGCAAATCATTGTATATCTGTAAGCAACATCAATGCTTAATAAATATCACCACAGTACAGTTACATATCTGCCAAACATAAGAAACTCTCTTATAGTCTTACATGTCAAAACCACACCTCCAGTTATGACACACTACAAAAGTATTTGTTTCCTTAAAGCTTTTTGTAGTAGTTGTCACTTCTTGGTAAGGTAGGGGTCACTTCATCATACAGTGCTACCCTATTCTGGTAAAAGTCTTCGTCCTCTGTTTGTCCTCAGGTGACTAGGACTGAGGCATCCCTGCTGCTTCCAGGTATCACTGAGAAACGAACCTGTGCCGCATCATCTTGGCATTCACTCAGATCTCTGATCCTCAGTTTTCACCCCAATAAAATAAAAATAACGTTGCCTCCTTAGCACTCCAGGGAGGACCACATGGAATCCTGTATATAATGTCAAGGAGTAAGAGATGATTCTCCTTCTTGATGGTCGTCGATACTTACGTGTTTGGGAACAGTAGGAAGGTGTGTATACATCTGGAGAGTGGAGGGCTCAAACAGTATTCCCTGCTACAGGGAAAGACCAGACTGAATCAGGTGTCTGTTAATCAGTTTGATTCTATTCCTAATCCAGATAGGCATGTCCAGTCTTTTCACGATTTTGTGTCCCTCCCCCATCCATATCAAATAAAATAATCCTTGGCATTACAATGCACTGCTAAAGGTGAGTTTCACTACTAAAGCCAGAGTTTAAAAAGGAGCAGAATGCCCAACAGGGTTTGTCCTGTTTACCCGTTTACTTCTGTCATGGCAGCACTTTGGGGGTACTGTACCCAGACACCATGGATAGGGAAAGTTACAAACAATGGGATTTTATTTTTAGAGGTCTGGAAGCCCCAAATCTTGTGCCAGAGACTTTTGCTTGGTGATGTTCTGTTTATACCCTGGCTTAGAGGCGGCACCCTCTCACCATGTCCTCATGCAAAGGTCACATAGCTGTCTGAGAACTCTTTAATCAAACATTAATGTCGTTCTCCAGGCTCTACCTTATGACCTACTCATCTTTCACAAGCCCTACTTCAAAATGCCTCACCTTGGGGTAGGATTCAACCTTTGAATTTGGGGAAACACAAACACTCAGGCAACATCCGATGGCCCATTCATTTATCTTTGCCCAGCATCCTATTCTTATGTTTAATCAGGCCAGAGATGCATTTGGTAGAAATGTACCTGTGGTTTTTTTTGTTGTTGTTGTTGTTTTCTTTTCCTGGTAGACAGCATCTGCTTGTAATTGGCAAGTGCCCATAACTCATTTGTTGTTAAATAGTTTAAACTAATGTAGATTGGGTGTTTAGGAAAGGTCTAATGAATGCATTTTATCCTGACAGTAGTCACAAGGTTAACACTTGCTTTAGTTTTTATCAAAGGAAAGTGATGTTCCTTGTCTGCATTCTTGGAGCATGTGGGAGGGAGCCAGGATTTGGACTCTTCTGTTTATTCCAAAACCCAAATGTGATCTCTACTTTGTTTTGTCAGCTATGAGTCTTTAATTCTTCCTAAACAGTCTGCTATTAAATACTTGGGAAATTTTATAATTTACTTTTTATTTTTAAAACTATACATCAAACAGGTAAGAAACAAAAGACAGCTGGATGGACGAGTGGAGTCTGGTTCCTGTCTTATCATCTGAAAATCAGGAGGGAACAAAATTTAGCAAGATGTGTTCAGAGGATACACACCCTGACTCTATAGTACCAGGCTGGAGGAAGTAGGGATGAACCTTTGATGGACCTCATTGCTGGTCCCAGCCACTCTCTGCCTCCGGGCACACTGTGATGCCAGAAGCTTCTATCACAAGCTCCTGCCTCCTTGAACTCTGCCATGCCATCCCTGCCATGATTCACTATACAAGGAGACCCTCTGAAACCATGAGCCAAAAGTAAATCTTTCTTCCCTTAAATAGTGTCTGTCAGGCATTTTTGTCATGTTGAGGGGAAAATAGTTGGCTACTATTAGTTGTATGTGGAGAAGGGACATCTACGGAAGTAATTGGACATAGTTCAGTTAGAACGAGGTCATAAGGTTGGACCCTGCACCTAAATGATTAATATCCATGTAGCAAGGCAGCAAATTTCACTCTTACTCCCTCTCTCCCCACTCTTCAGCATGTAGCAATAGAGAGCTGCATGAGGGCATAACAAGAAGGTATCCGCCTGCACCCCAGAAAAAGGGCCCTAATTTAGAATTTGAGATGACGGCTACTTCTGGGTTCTTTTGCTCTGTCCAGATGACACCATGGATAGAAAAGAGGCAGATCCTTTAGCACCAACACTCTTAACGTCCACAGGCTCATGGGTTGAACTTCAAGTTTCAGGCGTTTATAGTGCTAAGCCTTGAGAACTATGGGCTATGGCTGCAAGCTTTCAAAGTTGGAGGTTTAGTGCTCTAAGGCAGTGGTTCTCAACCTTCCTAATGTTGTGACCCTCTGATATAGCTCCTCATCCTGTAGTGAACCCTAACCATAAAATGATTTTGTTGCTACTTCATAACTGTAATTTTCTACTGTTTTGAATCATCATAAAATATGCAAGATATCTGAAACATGAACCCCATGAAAAGGTTGTTCCACCCTCAAAGGGATCATGACCCACAGGTTGAGAACCACTGCGAAAATACTCTAGGCCTGGAGTAACAGCACCAATGACTAGAGCTGTCACTCCTTCATGTGGGATGTCCTTTTGTATGCTGTGAATGCATGTTTCTCTAATTGGCTGATGAATAAAGCTGTTTCAGCCAATGGACAGGCAGCATGTGGACAGGTGGGAAATCCAAACAGGGATGGAGAAAGGTAGTAGGCAGAGTGAAGGAGATGCCATGTAACTACCAAGAAAGGAAGAAGTCCAGGTATCCCTGGTAAGCCGAGGCCACGTGGAGATACACAGACTAATAGAAATGGGTTAATAATTAAGAGAGAGCTAGCCAATAAGAAGCCTGAGCCACCTGCCAAACAGTTTATAATTAACGTAGGCTTCTGTGTGTTTGTTTAGGACTAAGCAGCTGCAGCTGTAGGACCAGGTGGGACAGAGACCCTCAACCCTAACCTTTCACACATCACGTGAGCTCACCTAAACAATGTTCCTCTTAGTCTGAGCTGTTGCCTTTGGCTCTTCCCAGCTCACGGCTTTATAACCTCAATGTCTCCACCTTTTCTGATGTTGTTTGTGGCTTCTTGTGGCATCTTCCCTCAGGTTCTCTCTGGCTCTCTCTGGCTACATTTTAGTGTTACAATTCAGAGCATTGGGTATCAATCCTCAGCTTACAGCTCAGAGCATCTGGAACTGCAGCCCTTAGCTGAGATAATTCAGTCATCCCCTCACAGAGATGGCAACTTCTGTGGCTAGGAGACCCAGGCTTCAGTCTGATTTTTTTACTAAAAATCTCATTATCCCAGTCTGTCTATGACAAAGGTCACAGACCAGTGGCAGACTGTTCTCGGGAAACTTTTCTTGAAGTTTAACATTAAAACACTGGCCATACTTTAGGGGAGATGTACAGAGGAGAAATGCCTCCAGACTAACACCAAAAGAGTACCGGAGGGGCTCTTTATAAAGCCAGGAGAGGGGTTTGGCATGCTTGCACACACAAAATTTCACCAAGCACAGCACAGTTACCAGTTCCATTAGCTCAAGCCCCACATTGCACCAAACTCAGCCCCTTGGCTGCATCTCTGAAGAGAGGTTTACCAGTTCTAGGGTGACTGGGTTTCACTGATGCTTGTCTGGCCCAAAATAGAATCTCCAAAGTTCTGGCATATATCTGTTCTCTATTTACCTCTTCTGATGACAAAGGGTCCACCCAGGCCATTCACTCAAATTTTAATCTGAGAATTTGATTTTTGTTGTGTTTCTCGTGAATTCTGGATATTAATCCTTTGGCAGAAGAATAGCTGACAAATGTTTTCTCACATTCTCGTGTCGTCTCTTCATTCTGATGATTGTTTCCTCTGCCACACTGAAACTACCTGGTTTGAGGAAATTTATAAGCAAGAGACACAGAAGGTCTTCATCTCTGGAGGTCCAAGGTCAAGAAACCAACAGATTAAGTAAGTATGTGGTGAAGGCCCATTCCTACCAGATGACACCTTCTCTGTGTTTTCAAATGGCAAAAAGAACATGGGGGGTTACCTTTCAACTTCCTGTATTTTTAAAAGGATTTATTTTCATTCATGTATATGTGTCTGTGTGAGTGAATGTGACAAGTACATAGGTGCCCTCAGAGGACAGAAGATAATGTTGGCGTGGTGACTTCCTAAAGGTTAGTGTCTTAATAATATCACATTGGCTATTGAGTTCCCCATATGAATCTAAGAGGACATCAATATTGAGCCTGTAACACTGGCCAAGACTGAATGGCTATGAGATTATACATGCTTATGTTCAAAAACAAGTGCTGCAGGCCATCAAATGTTTGGGGCCCAAGTTTATGAAGTGACTTGTAGCAATAGAGGAAACAGTATTTCTGACAGCATGCTTGTATTGGTTGAAATTTTCAACAAATTTATACGCATATAAATTATATTTACTTTACATAATTATCTGTGAAAGCCACATATGTGCGTTAAAAGATCTACAACATTTCCTTTACAATTGGGATTTTTAAGGAGAGTCAATCCATGATTTTGTAAGAGTTGACATACTCAGTTTTAAGAATAAAAAGGATACACTTGGGAGGCAGAGACAGGCGGATTTCTGTGAGTTCGAGACCAGCCTGGTCTACCGAGTGAGTTCCAGGACAGGCTCCAAAACAATACAGAGAAACCCTGTCTCGAAAAACCGAAAAAAAAAAAGAATAAAAAGGATAAGGATAAGGCAGTTTAAATCATAACCTATCTTGGCTAAAGGTAAGAAGTCTTGGGGTGGAGTTCGGTATTCATGTGATTTGAAGTCTCGCTCTCTGCTTGTAATACAGTATTTCTCTCCCCACTCTGTGTGATATAATACGAAACCTGAGATAGTCAGCTTATCAAGATAAAGTGTTTAATTTGGTTCATAGTGACTAGAAAAGTTCTTAGACCAGTGGTTCTTAACCTGTGTGTCAAGACCTTCTGGGAAGTCACATATCCTGCATATCAGATATTTACATTACAATTCCTAACAGTAGCAAAATGACAGTTATGAAGTAGCAACGAAATAAGCTAATGGCTGGGGGTCACCACAACATGAGGAACTACTGTGTTAAAGGGTTGCAGTACTAGGAAGGTTGAGACCCACTGATGTAGATCACCATCAGTGGGTTCATTGCTTTGGGCCTGTGGAAAGGCAGCTCATCACAATGGGGAAAATGCTGCAGAAATGCCCCACATCTAGGGAGCAAAGGAGAAAGAAGGTGCTGACCTTCAGTCCCCTTCTAAGTGGTGACCTCAGTGACCTTCAGTGACCTAAGACTTTTCCACCAGACCTCACCTCTTAATGGGTGCACTCTTCCAACCAGTGCCACCTTGATGACCAAAAATTTAACCCATAGGTCTTAGAGGGACATTTAATTTCAAACTGTACCACTCCACATTTCCTTTTACTTCTGGTGGATATTTCAGGCAGAATCTAATTTCTTTTTCCTGGCCTAAAGAGCCAATTCACAGATGGCATCCAGCACTGCCTTTCGGAAGGGTAGAGAGCAGACTGCATTGTCTCTTTCATTTCTGGTCCTTTGCATAGCTCCGTGCTCTCATCCTATGTGAGCAAATAGGCAGGTGTTTGACTTTAGACAAATTAGCTCAGCTTTCTGCATCTGTTGCCTTATGTACAAAGAACCCACTGTTCAGGTCTAACATCCAGGAATTTAGCATAAACAAATCTGTGCATGAACAGTAAAGCATGTAACATGGAAACTCCGATTGTTTGGAAAAGAAGACATTAAAATGTGACCTTACAAGAGAAGAAACCTGGGTGCTAAAATTGGAGGATGCTAAGGGATACCAGTGCTAAGGGACTGGCGTCATACTGTGGGAAGCACGGACTCTGTGTCCTTTGACTGTCAATGAAGAGGACACAAAGAAAATGCTTGGGCTGGGATAATTGTCACCACTTCATTTTTGTCTCCTGTCTAACTGATGCAGAGCAAAATGCGTTTACTGTCTATAATTATTTAATTACCCTTGTCTGTTCTTGTCGACAAACTAAAAGTCAAGTCATTTGTGGCACAAATATAGTTAATGAGATAAGCAGGAAATTAGGAACTCTACGAAGCCATTCACATCCACCATAATGAATCCTGCTGATTAAGAAGCCCTAATAGACTTGTTAGTGTCTGCTTTATGGTGCCTTCTCCTTGAGTTTATCTTAGCCTTTCTCCTTTGTCTCGTGATAAAGGAACCCTGGCATGTGCTTCTGATTTCTCAGTTGAGAAATATTGATGCTGAAGGAGTCTTAGCGCATGGTCTATACCTTAACTGTGTAAGGGGCAGACTTTAGGCTTTAATGAAGGGGAAAAATTAGTCAAAAGTTTAACCTCAAAAATCCCTTCCAGTGCTCTTCTGGTGAGCGCTTACCTCCTTCATCCTTAAATGATCTCACTTTCTCTTCCTAGTTCCCCAGAAGCTCATAGAAGAAGAAATTCTCACTTCTGAACAAACCCAAGGTTTCCCTGTAACTGAACGCCCCTCAAGACCTTTGCCCTAACATCTTGGGTCTGTCCTCCTGCTGCTTTCTCCTGATATAAAAAACACAAACTTCCTTCCGAAACAAACCCACTCGAGCTAAATTAAATCTGTCTCGTCTTAATTGTGGGGTAACTATGAGACCACAAAAAAAACCCTCAAGATAGAACAGAACAGTTTGAAGCAATGGACATGCTCAGAATCTAAGAGGTCTACCAGATAGTCACCCGGAATTCTGGGGGTGCAAACGTCTAGAGCTCAACAGACTATGAGCATCACCATTGCTGTGGAGGAGGCTGAAGCACAGACAAGGGAAATGTGAACACTTCTGCCAGAAGCCATATCCAGCCACTGCTGCCCATATGGAATTACCCTGAGCAAACTGCATGGTCAAGGGGGGAAGCAATTCCACTTCTCTCTGAATCAGATTGGAAACTGTGGGTACAAGGTTGGCCTGGGACTGGACATTTACTGTGTGACAATAAAAAGACAGTCTTGGGCAAGCAGGCACTGTTGATCGCACTAGCAGAAACAGTTATTTAGGACAATGGTGTGTGCTTTGGTCTGCCAGGTACTCAGCTTTTTGAGATCCTGAGTAACTCTGTGTGATAAGAGAGGATCATCTTGACTTCACAGTGTACCTGTTATGCAGAATTGACATCAGCTATTCTGCTTAATAGAGAGAATATTTGTGGAAGTTGTGGTGAGAGTTGTTGTTATGTTGTAATCTTTGGACAAAGCACTCTGGAACCAGACTTTCTTTTAAAAATGAAAATTCATATAATATATTCTGATCACGGTTTCCCCTCCACCATCTCCTCCAAGAAGAATAAAATATGTCAAAGAGTTCAGAAAGATTTCCAGGATTTGACTTTCCTGATATCTCTCTCTCTCTCTCTCTCTCTCTCTCTCTCTCTCTCTCTCTCTCTCTCTCTCTCTCTCTCTCCCTCTCCCTCTCTCTCTCTCTCCCTCCCTCCCTCCCTCCCTCCTTCCTTCCCTCCCTCTCTCCCTCCTCTGTCTCCTTTCTTCTTTGAGGAACCTTAGCTTTGTCCCTTAAGATCTCCCACAGGCTAGATGAGGCCCATGCACATTACATAAAACAACCCACTTTACTCTAAGTCTACTCATTCATTATGTTAACTGTATCAAAAAATAACTTGGCAGTGACATCCAGACTGATATTTAGCCAAACCACTGGGCTCCAAACCCTGGCCAATTTGACATTTAGAATTAAAATTGATGCATATAGATACTATTCAAGTGTAGTTTATAAGTTATAGCCAGAAAGTGTGAATTTTTGCTTGACTTTCCTTTTCAAGTATGTATAAATTTCTTTCATGGTAGTCATACAGTGACTTGAAAAAAAAACCCTCAAAACCATGAAACAAAAATAGTGTAGAATTGTAATGTGTATTCTTTTCCTCCGGTTACCTGGGTTCCACTGCTGTCTCTGCCCTCAAATAATACACGGGACACTATATTAATTATGAAGCTGTTCACCGTTTGCTATGGTTTCTTAATAATAGCTAGCTCTGACTTCATTATTAACCCATAATTACTAATATATATTTTTATAAGGTCTTATCTTACCAGGGACACAGCCTCATGTGTCCTCCCTTCCCGGGATCACATGGCAACTCTCCACCCTTGGCTACAGTTCCCAGAATCCTCCTTGACTCCTAGTCCCACCTATCTTGCTACCTTATTGACCAACAGTGCTTTATTTATCAACCATTAGGGCAACATATACACAGAAGAACTTCCCACATCAGTAGAATAATATTTCAGAATAAAAAGAAATAATATTTTGCCTTTAATGGTCATTTGATAAACCAGTTGCTTAAGCACTGACTATATGATTGAGAAGTCTGTGTAATAAAGATTGTAATAAATTGAGTGGTGCATAACAAAAATCACCCCTTAAAAGAATATAGCTCTCCAGAGCACTCGATTATAAAGAAGAAGGCTGAGACTCTACCCATTATCAGACATCCCAACGTCTAGTGAAAAAGCCTCTATGAAAACACATATAGCCCACTGCAGTGACTCTTATAAAATCATAAGCACAGACAACATGTATAAAGCTGTGGAATGGAAAACTAAGTATGTTGAAGAGCTCAGAAAGATTTCCCACAACGCTTGACTTTTAAGCTGGCAGGCAGTGCTTCCAAGGAAATTCACCACAGCCCATCGCACCGCCCGATGCAGCAAGATGATGAAGAAGATTCTTGATGTAGTCTAGTGATTGAGACACCCTTCAAGGACCAAAGGGCAGAGTGAACAGAATGTTAGCTTTCAAAAACCCCTGGGGTGTCCTCACTTGTCTACCTAGGCTATTATGGGGCTTGCCACTGCCTGAAGGATGCAATTCACCATCGTATCATGATCTTCTTGGTATCCTTCATATTGGGTCCTTTGAACACTCCAATAATTAGTTCTCAGGCTTCCTGTGTACCAGAGAGCTATCCGTAGCTGCTCTCTGGTCAAAGCCATGTATACTGGCATCTAGGCTCACAATGCTGACTCTTTCCTGTTCCCTCTTCTCTTCTTTGAAGAGTTATTTACTACCCTGAGCCTCCACATGACCCAAGTCATAATTCTATAGTGGCTCTTCATAGCCTGACCTCTCATGTGTGTCCCTGTCTTAGTCCCAGACAAATTGGAGGGCCTTTAAGGAAGAAGTCTTACACCGTGGGATGTTGCCTCAAGGCCAGTACTCAAGGCCAGTACAAGGCTTGATATGTGCTGGTGGAATTAGTACATTGCAAATGGAAATCAGAAGCTCAGGTTCCAGTCATTGTTGAGCAGAAGCAAATGCCTTGTGAGTTAAATATCTGTGACTGTTTTAGAGTTAGTGCCTTTTCATGCTGTCATTGTCATAACTGGTAATGACGCTGAAAAAGACAAATGTGTGGAGATATTTTTCTTGCAGTTCTGAAATGAATTCTGTGTTTCCTATTATGAAATTCATAATCTTGAGTCCTGAACAGCAGCCCATTACCTTTCGGGTTAATGAAAATAAACCCCAGGTAGGTTTAAATGTTCTTGAAAATTGATGTTCCAACAAGTACAGAAATAATACAACTGGGGAAAAAAAACCAAAAATGTAATTTAAAATTTTTCCCTTTTATCTCAAGAAAAAATATTCATTTTTTTCTTTCCAATTCCCCTTTGTTTCTGGAGTAGAATTGCTACAAGCTTATCTTTTGATTACAATCACCACCTCTTTCTCCTGCCAAAAAGAAACAGTATTTAGTTTATTGAGCTCCTCCTGTATGTTTTGTATTTTCCATTACTTGGTGTTTGCTGGTGTCATTGTCACTTTCTACCTCTGTATATTATTCTTTTTTTTAGATTTTATCCTTTTTTCCTGCGTTGGAGATTTATTCCAATGAACTGTTTTGTATACACAAACAAGTGCATGCATTTCATGCATAAGGTTAATGAGTTAGGGAGGAAAATGCATGCATGCACTCTCCTTCAGAGCAGGAAATGAAGCAGGCCACTACCAGCCCAGAGATGCCCGTGTTCCAGCTCAGACACTTCCTCCTTCTGTAGGAAGCTTATCACCACCGCACCTTCCAGCAACAGAGAGAGTACTGACCAATCATAGAGCACTCACTCCCTTAGGTGTGCTGTCCATATGCAATATTATTGCTCAAGTCCAATTCTTTACACTTATCTCTATGTAAAATATTTTTATTCATGTACAATATCCCTTATGCTAATAAATATAACCAGCTTTCCACGTCCATGGCTTCCCCATCTCTGGATTCAGCCAATGTGAACTGAAAACATTTGGAAGATCTTACATCTGCCTTGATCATATGCACAGACTTCCCTGTGTTATTATTTCCTAAACTGTGCATCAGAGCAAATATCTGTATCATATTAGGCAATGTGAGTTATCCTGCTTTTGACATGGTGACACAATATTGTCATCTACAAAGTTCATGCTCAAGAGCCATGCAATTGAGTTACAAGGAAGATTAAACTCTCATTACTGATTTAAGTAAGTTCAGCATTTTGAGTGGGGCTCCATTCATAGGTACATTCAGCTACTTGCATCCCACAGGCTGTGGGCTACACTAAAGGATGTGTAGATTCTATGACAAACAGCATACCATTTTTCACAGGAAACTTAAGCTAATTATGAATTCTGGTGTCCGTGGAGTCTTCTAGAATTAATCTCCATGAATGCCAAGGATACCCAAGCTGTGATTTATTTTTCCATTCTATGGTTGATACTGAGTATCATAAATAAAAGGTTACTGTGGGTTTTCTTATACATGGCTTTGACTGTACACTGGTGTACTTAGCTGAATATCTGGCTGGAAGCAGTGGTGTTGAGTCATAGTTTATGCCTGCGTAGTTACTGTCAAATAATTTCCAGAGGAAAATAAGAGCTGTGATGGGTTCACATACTTAACAGTATGGCTATACTTAAATACGATGATGTCATTTTTCCTGCTGTTGAGGAGGGTGGTACCCTTTGTTCTGATACAGGTAGCTGATGAATCATTTATTGAGCACTTCGATGCTTAATGTATTTTCTTTGGAGCACTTTCGGGTGCACCGACACTTTTATTAGATTGTTTGTCTTTTGTTTGTCAATTTGAAAGCCGAGTCTATATATTTTGAATCGGGCTCCTCTCACCCAGTTGCCTTGCAAATGCTTTCTCCCTACTAATGATTTTCCTTTATGTTTTCAGGTAGTGTTTATTGACATAAACCAATGCTCTTAACTTTAATGATTCTGTATGTTAGTCCCCCGTGAAAGTGCTGACTTTCACATTCTCTTTAAGAATTCTTTTCATAAGCCAACTTTACTAAATTGCTATGTCTCATATGAAGTGAGTTATTTTTACCTTTTATGATTCCCATATAGATTTGTAATTTATTTAGACTGAATTTTCTCATCTAGTCACAGGTAGGTAGCAGGTTTTTAAAATTGATTTTGTTTTCATATGGATATTGAATTAAGATTATTGATTCCATAAACTGTATTTTTTGTATGTGATGTTCAGTTAATGAACACTTTGGAAAGGAAGAAAAAAATTAAAAATAAAAATCCATGCACCTGAACTGACAAGAATGTCACACTGGTATCACACGGCCCACGTATAAATAACTAAATCATTTGTGGAAAAATTACAATTGCTACTTCACTGAGATTGAAATGGTAAAAATTTAAAGGCTGGAGAGATGGTGGCTCAGGGTGCAAAAGTAGATGGTTCCAAGCCTCGTGACTTGAGTTTGATCCCTGAGACCCACATGGTGAAAGGAGATTATTGACTCTTGCAAATTGTTCTCTGACACCCACATGTGAGCAATGGCATATGAGCACCACACACACACAGAGGGGGGCGGAGAGATGGGGAAGAGAGAGAGAGAGCAAGCCACTCAATGCAGTAATTTTTTATTTTAAAGACCTATCAGGACTTCGGAAGAACTGGCTTTGCTCTGACATTTTTAAACATAAATTGCTTTTGCTGTTTCTCTCCACCCCTCCTTTGCCGTCTCCACTCCTCCCTCCCCTTTAACCACCTCACATCCTCAGTGGCCTTATTTCAGCTTTCAGAACACACGGCCTTTTGTCCCACCTCCCTTTCTGAATATGTCTTGCTCCCTTCTTATGATCTCCTGTCTGTCTGCATCATGTACATAGGCCCTCGCTGCCCTTTATTCACAGACAGACAGACCCTGGAAGTTAGGAGCTGCACACTAGAGAACAGGAAGATTGGCTGGGAAGTGTGACATCTAAGGCGATGACAGACTGACCCGGTGAACTTCACTCACTGCGTTCAAGATGACGCTGTTTCATTGCTTATCTGTGCGCAAAGATACGTTTCCTTAATTCTTTTGTGTTGGAGTTTTACTCTTTGGTTAGAGAGAGAGAGAGAGAGAGAGAGAGAGAGAGAGAGAGAGAGAGAGAGAGGGAGGGAGGGAGGGAGGAAGGGAGAGAGAGAAGGGGAGAGGGGGGAGGGAGGGAGAGAGAGAGAGAGAGAGGGAGAGAGAGAGAGGGAGGGAGAGGGGGAGAGGGAGAGAGGGAGGGAGAGAGAGGATATATCTTTCAAGTTAAACTAGTCTTCCAGTTAAATTATATGGAGACAAACATTAGCATTTTGTGTTGCAACATAAATTCTAGAAGTCTCTTCTTAAATTTTTACTTAACACTTCTTTGAATTATATTCATTATCTAGATAACTACAACACTTAATTGTACTAATATCGAAGGATATGACATATTTAGATTATCTTTTGATGCTGTTGGAGACATTTTAAGTTTTCAAAGTCGAAGAAATATGGAGACAGGAGCTGATGCTGAGGCCATGGAGGGTGCTGCTTACGGGTTTGCTCTTCATGGCTGTTTCAGCCTGCTTTCTTACAGAACCCAGAACCACCAACCCAGGGATGGGACCACCCACCATGGGCTAGGCTCTCCAGTCTTCAAACACTAAGAAAATACCCTACAGACTTTCCTACAGCCTCACCTTTTGGAGGAATTTTCTCAACTGAGGCTCCCTTCTCTCTGATGAATCTAGCTTGTATCAAATTGACATAAAGCTAGCCAGCACAACTGACTCCTTGTCAACTCGACACACAAACACAACACTGCTAAGCCACAGCCTTTTTCCCAAAATCACACATTAGTAAAGACATCACAACATAAAACATTTTACAAACTTAAATGTTCCACAGCCTTTAAAAATTCAGTCTCTTTAAAACATCTGGTCCCTCTTAAAATTCAAAGTCTTTTTAAATTGTAATGCCTCTCAACTGTGGGTTCCTATGAAATAAAAAAATAAGTAAAATGCTTTCTTACTTCAAGAGAGAGGAACCAGGGCACAGTCAAAGCCAAAACGAATTCAAACCATGTAAATAACTCAGTGTCCAATATCTAGGATCCCCTCTAGGTCTTCGGGGTCCTCCAAAGGGCTGTGGTCGCTCCTCTGGCTTCCCCAGTTTAACACACATCGGTTGTCTTCCAGGCTCCTTCCGGTTCCGCTCCTTTGCTGCTGTTGCCCTTGGTTCATCCCAAGCTACTTCAGTCTCCAAAACAACGGGAGTCCCTTGCTGCAGCTGGGTTGCCCTTTCACCAAGAGCCTCTCCTGCCTCTCTCTCTTCAGGGACTCCCGTCCCGCCACACAGTGCCAAGCTGCAACTGCTCTCCACGACAAGAGCATTCCTTCAAAACCAGCACCACCCAGGCGAGTCTCACACTATCCCGTTGAGCTGCCAACACAAGGTGCAACCTTGGCCCCTTCTGGAACACAACTTCTATGTGGTCACCTTTAAAAAAAACTTCTCCAAAGACTTCACCTCAATGATGCTGGTCTATTCTTAATCCTAGCTGATCCTTCAGCCTCAGCTGAGCAGCATCCATTGTCCCAGCAAAGCAAAGATTTAGTTTTACTTCAGTGGCTCTAGTGTCTTACTAACCACAGCCAATTAATTCATCGGTTGCAGCTGACCAGATGCTACAGATTCTTCACACAAACGGCCTGTAACGTCTTTACTTCCCTCTGGAACGTTACAAGCCATATCTCTATCATCTACACCACTCTCAACATTCTTACCTTCCAAGTTCCTACAGAACAGCCCACTGAGCTCTCAACACTCAGCGGCTTTTCTAGTCCAAAGTTCTAAAGTCCTTTCACGATCTTTCCGGAAACAACATGGTCAAGTGTGCCCCTCCAATATCCTGGTACCAACTTCTATCCTACTTAAGGTTACTATTGTTGTGATGAAACACTGTGACCAAAACAACTCGGGGAGGAAGGGATTTATTAGGCTTATGCTTCTGCATCATTGTTCATCATTGCAAAAAGTCAGGATAGAAACTCAAGCAGGGATGAAACCTGAAGGCAAGAGCTGATGTAGAGGCTATAGGTCAGGTGCTGCTTACTAGTTTGCTCTTCATGGCTTGCTCAGCCTGCTTATAGACCCCAAGACCACCAACCCAGGGATGGCACAATTCACAATGGGCTGAGCTCTCCCACATCAATCACCAAATAATAAAATACTCTGAAGACTTGCCTATAGACTGATCTTATGGGGGCTTTTTCTCAACTGAGGTTCCCACTTCTCAAATGACTTCGACTTGTGACAAGTTGGTGGGAAAGTATCCAGCAATATGCTGTACATGCAATCCCACATTTTCCCTGAAAATTATAAAATTGATATTCTAGGTGGAGTATTTAAATTTTAATCTACAGCTATTCAGAATGGGGACTGCATACTCTTCCCAGATCCACCCTCGTTCCCTACCCCTCAAATCTGTGTGATTTTCAAAATAAATCTTCCAAGGCCAGGTTGTGCTGCTCAAATATTCTAGATATGTAGTTTTCCAAAGGAGCACAGTCATATCAGAGGACACACCCTTATGATGAATTAGCCTTTCCTCTCCCAGCAGCCAATAACTCCACAGCTGGGAATAGGGATGTGCCCAACTCCTCTATCAAGCTAGCATTTGGCTGGCTTTGGTAACTAAGATATATTTAGTTGGTAGATGTTAGTATGCTTTCAATCTCATTTCTTGATAGCTAGAGATCTGTTTCAGTCATAAATCCACTTGGTTTAACTTTGGTGGTTTACTTGTGTTTAAATTTTCATCCAGTTTAAAATTTCCTATTTCTTCTATTTTTAATTTATCACCTGTTGAGTTCAATCAGCATTCTCCTTATGCATGTGGGTATAGGACTGAGCACTGAAATATGAGAAACAGGGACATGCTGGGGAATCATTATCCCTCAAATAACATGGAATAATTCCTTTGAAATAAGAATTTTCAGCTATACATTTTTAGGATGGGTGGAGACCCTGGGAGGAGTTAGACTGGGGAGTGAGGGATCGGGTTTATCAAAATATATTGTACCTACATATTAAGTTCTCAAAGAATAAAAATTAATCAGTTTTCAAAAATTCCAATTTCTCTTTTACCTGATTTTGGGTTGCTTCATCCAGCAATCCAAAAGGTAAGGGTTTTTTCCTTGTCTTATTATATTTTGTTGTGCCGCGTTCAAATGATGCCCTGGGAGGCCTTCTGTTTGCTGGAGGAAGACAAGGTGGAGGAGTGGATCTGGGGGAGAGGGTAGGGTAGGGGGAACAAGGAGAAAGGGAGGGAGGAAAAGTTGTAGTCAGGATGTATTGTATGAAAAAAGAATAAATGAATATTTTTTAAAATCCAATTTATTGCAATTCAGGTTTTCGAAGTTTCCCCTAATGATCGTCTGAATTCCATTAGTATCTGTTGTAATGTCTCCTTTTCCGGCCCTAATTCTATTACCTTGGTTCTTTTGTTTCTTATTGTAACTAGGGGTTGGTTAACTTTATTTCTCTTTTCTAATAACTAGTCCATTTCATTGATTCTTTTTTATTGTTCTTTTCATTTCCCTTTCATTGATTTCTTAACTTTATATTTATTGTTTTTATATGCTATTGGGGACTGGCTTTTTTGTTGTTGTTGTTTTTCTAGTGCTCTGAGTTGTATCATTAAATCATTTAACACAGATCTCTTCAATTTTTGCCTCTACCTTTATTTTCAAACAATATATAAATAGAGAAGCAAATTGATACTAACACTGAATACTTTAATATACCAAAATATAGTCTAAAAACTGCAGGAGATACCTCATGAGGTTGACTTACAGGACCATGTTAATGCCTTGTGTCATTTGTTGTACAATATATTCTGACTAAGGTTTCTCCTCCTTCTACTCCTCACAGTGCTTCACTATCTCCCCTCCCATCTGGAGGATCCCCCCTTTCCACAACCCCCCCTTTCTCTTTCCTTCATGGGGGGGAGGGAAGGCATCTAAGAGATAAGTAAAACAAAGATAAAATAAAAACAAAGAATTCAGAATGTGACAAAACAAACAGAAGAGCCCAAGAAAAGCCACAAGAGGCAGATATAGATACAGAGATACATTCATTTGCACACTCACAAATCCCATACAAACACAAAACCAAAAGCTATAATGTATATACAAAGGACCTGTCGGGTAAAATTTAAAATTAAAACCAAAGTCCTGACAAGACATTATGAGACAGGAAACTCCAAATATGCCGTTGAGTTTGGTTAGTGTTGGACATCTACCACTGGGCACAGAGCTTACACTTAAGAGTAGTTTGTTACCACAGTGAGATGCCTGTGGAGAAAACTAATTTTCAATTTTCAAGAGGTTATCAATTGGAGGTGGTTTCTGGATGCTCTAGGAATCCATCCAGTAGAGGCTCTGTGATGCTGCCTCAGTCTCTGAAAGTTTGTATGTGTGTTGACCCTGTTGATTTAGAAGTCTTTGCTTTCTTGGTGTCTTCAATCACATCTAACACTTACACTCTCTCTGCCTCCTCTCCCACAGGGTTCCTTGAACCCTGAGGGGAGGGAGTTGATGGGGACATGTCACTTGGGGCTGAATAGTCCAAGGCCCCCACTCTGCCTATTTTCTGACTGTAGGTCTCTGTATTTGTTCCCATCTGATGCAGGAGGAAGCTTCTCTGATGAAGGCTGAGCAAAGAACTGATTTATGAGTGTAGCAGAATGTCATCAGGAGTAATTTCATTGCAATATTTCTTCAGAACAATAGTATGTAGGTTTACCCTAGGTTTCTGTACTATCTGGTCTCAGGTTCTTGGCCACCCAAGCAGTGTCGGGCATGAGCTAATATCTCATGGAGTGATCCTTAAACCAATTCAGACATTAACTGGTGCCTTCCACAAGCATTGTGCCATGATTGCACCAGGGTATCTTGCAGGTATATCACCATTATAGATCAAAGGGTTTGGGGATGTATTGCTATTTATATTTCTTCCTTGATAGCATGCAGAGTATATAAATGCTAATTTCTAGGGTTAAAGGTTCTAGGTAGGTACAGCTTGACATTTCTATGTTCAGTGAGTTGTGTAGCTGTTGTCGTCAGCAATAAGGCCTCACTGTCAGTTTGTGGAGAGCACAAAGCTATTGCTTTGACAATAGCCTGGGTGTTTAAGGGTTCCTGTGTAACCAATTTGCCTCCAAACCCAAACATATGTAACCAATTCCTGGTACTGGAAGCTTCATTTGATGACTAGAGATGTCTTGTCGGTCTCTGTCTCCCTTGTTATTTGGCAATATCATTAAGATCAGCTCTATGTATGTACTTTAGGAAGCTTCTACTGTAAGTAGGTTTCCATACAACCCCTCAAGTGGCCCCTGGCTTTGGCAGTTCCTCCCCATATTCCCTCCACCACTCCTCTTACCTCTCCCCCTACCCATTTCCTCCCATTCCAGTGTCCCTCCATCAACTCTTGATTATCTATTCTATTTCTTCTTTCTAGGGTGATCCACACACCCCCAGTCTCTTACTCAATACCTAGCCTCTGTGGCTATACAAATTGTGGCTTGGTTATCAGTGATTTGACAGGTAACATCCACATATAAAAAGTGCTTATCTGACATATTTGTCTTTCTGGTCTAGATTACTTCACTCAGGGTGATTTTTTCTATTTCCAAACATTTAGTTGATAATGTCATTATTTCATTTTTTAATGACTGAGTAATATTCCATTGTGTAAAGTTTCTTATTCATCCATCCATTGACAAACATCTAGGTTGTTCCCACTTTCTGACTGTTATGAATAATGTGACAATGAACATAGTTGAGAAAGTGTCTCTGTAATAGGATGAAACCTCCTTTGCATACATCCCCAAGAGAGCACAGGGGGATCTTGAGGTCATTCAGTTTTCATTTTTGAGGTGTCGCCACACTGATTTCCATAGAGGTTTTATAAATTTGCACCCCCACCAGCAATGGTGTTTCCATTACTCCACGTCTTTTCCAGAATGAGCTGTCACTTGTCTTATTGATCTTAGCCATTCTAGTGGATGCAAGATGAAATCTCAAAGGGGTTTTGATTTTTATGTCCCTGTTGACTCAAGATTTTGAACATTTGTACCTCTCGGCCATTAGAGTTTCTTCTTTTGAGTATTCTGTTTAGATCTCTTCCCAAGTTTAAATTAGATTATGTGTTTTCTTGATAATCCAGGTTTTTTAGTTCTTTATTTATGTTTGATATTGGCCCTGCATTGCTCATGTAACTGGCAAAAATCTCTTCGCATTCCATAGACTACCGTTTTGTATGAATGATGGTGACCTTTGATAAACAAAGCTTTTCAGCTGCATTAACTGTTGATTTTAGTGCCTGTGCTAATGGTGTTCTGTTCAGAAAACCTTTCTCTCTGTCAATGAGTTCAAGGCTATTCCCCATTTCATTTTCTATCAGGTTCAGTGTATTTGGTTTTATGTTGAGATGTCTGATCAATTTGCAGTCGTGTTTTATGACGAATTATAAATACGGATCTAATTGCATTCTCCTATATGCAAGCATCAGTTTTGAATGTGCTTTTTCACAGCCTCTGTTTCTTGTTCCTTCATCAAAACTCAGGTGTCCATATGTATGTGGACTCACATCTGGGTGTTTGATTCTATTCCATTGATTAATGTGTCTGGTTTTGTCTCAATACCATGTTATATTTATTAATGCAGCTCTGTGGTAAAACTTGAAACTGGAGATAGCGATACCTCCTGCAGTTATTTTATTATTCAGAATTATTTTAGCTACTCCGGGTTTTTGTTGTTTCATATGAAGATGATAATCATTCTTTCAAGTTCTGTGAGGACTTGTGCTGGAATTTTGGTGGAGACTGCATTGAATCTGTAGAATGTTTTCGGTAGGATGGCTATTTTAACTAAATTAATCATACCGGTCCTTGAGAATGGGAGGTCTTTCCATCTTCTGATATTTTCTTCAATTTCTTTCTTCAGTCTTAAAGTTTTTAAATATAAGTTTTACACTTGCTTGGTTAGAATTACACCAGATAGTTTCTATTTCTGAGGCTATTGTGAAATGTAATATTTCCCTGATTTCTTTCTCAGTCCATTTTTCATTTCTATATGGAAAGGCTAGTGATTTTTGAGCATTACTTTTATATTCTGCTACTTTCCTGAAAGTGTCTATAAACTGTAGGAATTGCCCAGTGGAATATTTTTGGTAAAAAATCATGCTGTGTATCATCTGAAAATAAAGATATTTTGACTTCTTCCCTTCCTTGTTAAATCCTTTGGTCTCCTTCAGCTTTCTTATTGCTCTAGCTAAGAAATCAAAAAATTGCTATATTGAATAAGAATGGAGCAGGGAAAACGTTGTCTTCTTTACTTTAGTAGAAACGCTTTGAGTCTGTTTCCATTTAAGTTGATGTTGGCTATGGGCTTCCTGTAAGCTGATTTTATTATGTCGAGGTATGTCTCTTGTATACCTAATATCGCCATGTTTTTTTTTTATCAATAAAGGGTGTTAGGTTTTGTCAAAGGCCTTTTCAGCATTTAATGAGTTGATCATATGGTGTTTGTATTTCTGTTTGTCTATCTTGTGAATGATAGTTATCTGTTTACCTATGTTGAACCATCCCTGAATCTCTGGGATGAAGCCTACTTGATTATGGCTCTTTTTGATGTATTCTTGGGTTTGGTTTGCAAGAACTTTACTGAGAATTTTGCATCTGTGTTCATAAGGGAAATTGGTCTGCAATTCTCTTTGATGGGTTTTTATGTGGTTTAGGTTTCAGGGTAACTATGGTCTCATACAAAGAATGTTCCTTCTGTTTCTGTTTTGTGGAATAATTTGAGAAGTGTTAGCACTAATTCTTTGAAATCTGATAGAATCCTTTGCTAGAACCACCTAGGTATGTTTTGTTTGTTGGTTTGTTTTGTTGCTTCTGTTTCACTAGGAGTTATGGGCATGTTTAAATTGCTTTTAGATTTTCCAATTTGGTGGAGTACAGGTCAAAGTATATTCTTCTGATTATCTTGATTTCCTCGGTGCCTGTTTTTATGTCACCATTTTTCTTTCTAGTTTTGTTTATTTGTATCTGTTCTCTCTGCCTCTTAGTTAATTTGGTTAAGGGTTTGTCAATCATACTGATTTTCTCAAAAAAAAACCCTCTTGGTTTCATTGATATTTGTGGGTTTATTTTATTTGTTTATTTCTATTCTATTGTTTTCAGCCCTGAGTTTGATTATTTCTTG